TTAAACCAGATTCCCCGTACCGCGAGTAGTTAAAAAGATATTATAACGACACTTATATAAGTCATAATAATAGCCCAAATATTTATTATAAGTTCATAATAACAATACTAATTTTAAATATAAGTTATATTAAAATAGGGTAAGCATAACTTACTTACAAGGGGTTTTAGCTAGGAGTCGGGCTCTGCAGGGGCAGAACTTCGTCGTTGAATCTTTCTAGGAAAGATTCGTGCAACGGTTCAGCGCTTGCCTTACTATAAAACTACAGAAAGAGAAGTCGAATCACGAGGGACCGAAATGCTCGGAGGATAAGAAGAGAAAGACTTTTGAATCAAGAGAATGGTGCAAGAAATATGAGAGCCCATTGCTCTTATTTATAATAATTGAATTTTCAAAAACTACCCTCCATAGTTACTTAATGACCTTATAGTTATATAAATGACTAAACACTCATTTATAATACTTTTTTAAATAGATTTAATAATATTTGTACTAAACTAATGTCAAAGGTACTCAACACTAGTCTTATAATGACCGCATCGTTGATACCTTTCTAATGATATATACATATGTATATATATATGTGTACATATATATGATTTATACTTTATTTTAATAAGTAAATATGCTATTATAATTTGTAATTTGTTCATACGAACTCCGTTTTTGACGCTCTTTATATCCACGCGTAGGTGGAGACGTACTCTACAACTTTCATTTAGACTCCGTCGGCTAATTTTAAATTTATTTTTAAAGTTATATTTTTAATAGGCCGGGACAGGAAAAGTCCGTTAAAAATTCATAACTTCTTCATCCGACGGCCGTTTTCGTCTGTCTTTTTACCGTTGCGCTACTATCAATGAGATCTTCAATTCTCATTTAGGTTGTGTTGGCCAAAAATCGATCGATCTAAAATTCGAATTTCGGGTTGTGCACTGCTATGCCAAATCTTAGAAAAATCATAACTTCCTCATACGAAGTCAGATTTTGACGTTCTTTTTTTTGTATGTTCTCGGTTTAACGTATACTACAACTTTTGTCTAGATTACTAAGGCTAAAAAGTCTTCTATCGTAAATTCACTATTTACGTCTCCCGGTACCGTGCCGGTTTTGCCGTAAAACTTCGACGGGCCATAACTTCTTCGTTATAACTCAGATTTCGGCGTTCTTTATATGTACGGAACCCTTGTAACATATACTATGACTTGGTTATGATTATTCATTCTAAATAATCTTCTATTAAAAAGTCATTTTTTTACGCTTATCGTCTCTAAATTGACTAGCCCGAATCTACGGGCGTTACGGTACAGCTGAGTACGCCCCGCGTACTCACGTACTCAGTCAGGTGGATTTTTGCTTTTAGGCTTCGTGGTTGGGCTTCCTTTTTGGGCTTGGGTGTTGAGTTCTTAATGGGCCATCTGAGTACAAGTATTTTGGACTAGGAAGATCGGTTGGACTTTAGGGTAAGGCCCATTTAAAGGGGTTTAGGCCCAATTTGGAAAATTGGACCCTATTTGGGCCTTAGTTGATTATTTGTCTTTTGGGCCTTTCAGATTGTGAGTTTGGGACTTAGTTTTGGACCAAGCTAGGTTAGGGGTAAAATGATCTTTTCACCCTGAGTATGGATTTATGATTATGGATTAAAACCCAATTGTTAATTAGGTGTTGTTTGATATTGACAGTTCAGGGATCTGTCAGCCAGCAGCCAGGGATTTTCTGTGCGATTCGGCTGTGCGAGGTGAGTTTCCTCACTTAGCGGGTCGAAGGCACCAATGCCGACCCATGGTTTATATGTTAGGATGCTAAATGCCTGCGTGACTCTTGCATGTGTTTTGTGACGGTATGCTTACCGCGCAACACTCGATGCCAGACGGGGCCTGATGAGTAGATTGTATGCTAGTCATTAGTATTTGTTTTTTATGCTTACCGAGCGAGGCCCGATGCTGGGCGAGGCTCGATGACTGTATGATATGCTATAGTCTTTGTGATTACTGCATGTTCCAGTAAGGTTATATGTTTATATGATTATATGGTTATATGATTGTGTGTGTATCGGGCGGGGCCTAATGTCAGGCGGGGCCTGGTGATTGACAGATCTGTAATCCGAGCGAGACTCGATGCCGGGCGGGGCCCGATGCCGAGTGGGACTCGAGACCGGGCGAGGCCTGATGGAGGGCGGGGGCCCAGTATGTGATTTATGTATGTGAGGTATGGGGTATCTTGGAGAATTCACTAAGCTTTGTGCTTACGGTTTTCAGTTTATGTTTCAGGTACTTCGGTTTTCAAATGGAAGAGTTTGGGATGATTGCAGAGCACACACCACATGTTCCGCATTCTGTGATTTACTCTGATTTGATGATGTTTTGATAAATCTTGATTACCTTGTTTTTATGGGAATGATATGTATTAACGATTTATTAATCTAAAAACGAAAATTGTATGTTATTATTTTTAGGACGTTTCAATATTACTCATTTATTTCTATTCCATGGTTTCCACATAAACTTCATAAGCCCCAATTATAGACAATAAACTTTCCAAACTTATAGAACCTTCCTTTCTTGAATTATAACTTAAACCCCTTGTCCTGTGTCATTGTGTCATCATTAAAATTGCATAAATCACCCCCAAAACCTTGTACGTTTCAGAGCATGATCTTCATAATCTACTAAACACAATTAGTTTTTTTTTTTTTTTTTTTTTTTTTTTTTTTTTTTTTTTTTTTGAGAAAACCACAACCCTACTCATTGAAATTTTCATATATTCATGATTTCAAGTAAAGATCTAAGCAAAAATATCAAACAAGTTTGAGATTAATGACATTAAGGAGAAAAAACGGGCAATTCTAGCTTATTACCCTTAATTAATTGATGACATGGAAAAAACGTATTAGAAAATTCCCCTCCTTTATTAAATACTCTTTTACAAAGTTTAGGGTAACAGATCACTTCGAGTTTTTAAACCCTTTTAATTTAGGAACTTAAAAATCAATCAAAATCATTGATTGTTTTTCAATATGAAGTTCTAAAATTGCTCTTACATTCTCCCAATACTTATTATTCTAATATGATCCTAACTATAATTAATGAACCTTTTTTGAAAGTGTTATCTCCAAGATTTAATGTTTATGTTGTATCTACAGCTTTTAACATTTGGATGTTTATTTTCCATTTATTTTGTTTAGATATCGAGGTTTCTAATGGTTTCCTCTTCAAACCTAAATGTTGATGAACACACTGGTGTTGAGGAGGACATATCTACGACAAATTTGATGATTTGCCGTTGGAAGCAAATGATGACCTATTCTTTATTTTTAAATTCTAAAAATAACCATAAAATGACTTACTAGGGACATTTACCATAAATATTATGTGAAGAACACTTATCAAGGAGGTCAATACCAAATAAGGAGTATGTGTTAATGATACTCCTAAACCTTTTTTCCATGAAGTGCACTATGAAAACGTTTTTCTTATATGCACATTTACTTTTCAGTGCCCCATTCTTTTTTATTTATAAATTCCGAAAATAACACCTATTTTAGGAGTTATTATATGGTTATGATACCTCTTACATATAGTTAATGATGTATTTTAACCAAATTTGTAAAAATCGCTCAACGTTAGCTAGTCGGTGGACTGAAGTTAATAGATTAATCGACTAGACGGAGATTAATCGTGGGATTAATCGGTGAGCATTAATTGCTAATTTGTTAAATTTAAAAAAATAAAATATGACTAATATCTTATAAAAATTCATAAATACCACAAATATCATAACAAAATAGGTTAATATGATTAATACAACACTAAACATACCTCAAATAGTTTCTAATGAGATATAACTTCTTCAAAGTGTTAAAATTTCATTGAGTTTTACTGCTTCACTTATTGTATATGCAGGGATTAATCGCTAGACGCCTTCTAATCGGTCGAGTAGTGCCTACGGATTAATTGGAGATTAATCGGGACCTAGTCAATATTTTTACAATACTGATCTTAACTATTAAAGGCTTGTAGCCTGACGGTATCAAATATTGGTGGAAATGTGTCCCTTAACTATTGTTTGAAGGTTCAAGTCTCATTTGAAACAAAATGATTAGTTTATTTGTAGGATAATTAGTGTGTGTTTGTTGTTCTATAAAAAGAAATATATCATAACTATAGGTTCAGAGTGAACATGATTCTTGTAAGGTTAATATATAAAGCTGTTGAAGATTTTTATTTTATTTTATTTTTTTTCATTCCATTCTCTCATTTTCTTCCTTATTATCTGAAAATATGAAATAATAATGAGTTATTAGATGATATTTAGGAGTTCTTGTTAGTTGAGAAACTTTTCTTATTCTTAGGAGTTTTAGTTGGGTTAGGACTTTTTTTTGTAAAACTCTATATAAAACTACTTAGATGTTAACTTTTATTTATTCCATTACATTTTCTTTCTCTCCCCTCTCCTTACAGATTTATCAGTCATGTGGCCTTGCAATAAGAGTCTTTCATAGTGTTTTTTTTTTCTTTCAGTTTTAGGTTTCCACTTTATATATATCATGGTGTTGATCAATTGTGTTTATTATGGTTTATTCTTTATTTTATAACAGGATGAAGTTCAAAATTTGGTAAATGCTGATGATGTATTACAAACCGAGTCATTTATGAAGATAAGCTTGAAGTTGGTGTGGAGTGCATTGTTCTTGGCCTCATAGTCATGTTATACCGACATAAGGTACGCACATTACTATTGAATACATTGTGTGTTTACTGCAGTATATGTATTACAAGTTAATAAATACCACTTAATGAAACAAAACCGTAAAAACTTTCAAAACATATAGTATAATATGGTCAAAATAACAACAATCTAAATGTCAAACCATAACCGGCCTTCATCAACAACGAGAATTTGTTTTGTTTTATTGTACATGATGTTGCCTTTTTCTTTTCCCGATAACACCAATTCACCAAATTATTCTTAAATTAACAAGCACGACCAACGGGATTTTCCTATATTTTCTTTCCCTGTAACCAATGGGAGTAAAACACCAATGCTTCTTTAGGTTTGTACTCGGGTACCCTATGCCCCGCTCCCTACATCAGATCAAATATATAATCAACTTCAAATGAACATATGAGCATTTAGCTTAATAAGCAAGTAGTCCCTCTCCACTCCTTAAATGTTTAATCTCCTCGCATCTTATATTATTTCCAATTTATGTTTCAAACATGCACTTTAGTTCGTTTCGGTGTCGTACTGTTTTGCAAAATAATGTTTACTGTTTTGCAAAAAAGTGGATATATCATATATGCTCAAACATGGGACCATCTAATAAAGCAAAAGGTATGCACTTGGATATGAAAAGCATTCAAATTGCACGTCTTCGAACATCATTTTATTACATGCATCTTAAAATTTTGTGTGACAAACCTTGACCGTGAGAAACGTGAGGTTTTTATCGTATCCTTGTATGTATCTGCAATGAGGAGAAATATTTTAGCATATATGTATCACATCGTAACAATAAACTTGTTTATATATATATATATATATATATATATATATATATATATATATATATATATATATATATATATATATAATCATCGTGGTGATAGTATTTTTTTGTTAGGAAAGGAAAACATACCCTGCGATATATATATATATATATATATATATATATATATATATATATATATATATATATATATATATATATATATATATATATATATTAAATCATCGTGGTGAAGCTTCACGTAAGTAATAGTATTTTTTTGTTAGGAAAGGAAAACATACCCTGCGATTTGGCCATCGACCTTCCAACTCCTCCACTCATCGATAACCTTGTAGCCTAACGATCGTGATCATGATCACCACTGCACGAGTATATGAAATTTATAACTTTTTATTTTTATTTTTTGTCCTATTTGTATGATGTGATGTGATGCATGATCGAAAGACGGTATAAATACATGAGCATTATTTTCATATTCAAACTCGTTTGATACACAAGACAAGTCAAAAACAAAAAAAAAATTTGCGGACTAGAACTAGGATCAGAATTGATGTTAATGGGACGTGGGAGATTGTATGTGACCTTTAGGCTAAATGGTGTGGTGTCTTTTATATCAACGGTAAAAAAGTGTCATATAGGCGCCACGTCAACTTTCACAGTTTTTACAATTTTCACCTATGGACTAAGATGTGGTAAATGGTTTACCTATGAGTTATTATTATTATTTTTTTTAATTTCAATAAAAAAAATAAGAACTTTTGTGAAAACCATACTAAAATTAAAAATTACATTTTAGAAATCCTAAAAATAAAAAATAACATGAAATTAAAAAATACATTAAAAACCTAAAAAAAATGAAGTGAAAAAAAAACTAGATAAAACATAACATCGAAATTTCATTTGCAGTTTAGCTTATATTTTTCGCGAATCGACTGCTTCACCGCTTTAGCTGTCGTCTCTTAATCTTCGGGGTCGAGATGTCTCACATCTTGCATTAACAACGGATACTCTGTGAGTCGGACAGTTTCAGCCATATGCCTCTCCAAAGTTGAATTCAATTGTGCCATTTGTGTCATCATTTCTTCCGATCTAGCTGACCTCTCGGTTCCGACTAACGAATTTGAAGATGTCGCTTTCCCTTTTCCTTTTGCTCGAGCTTTTGTTTTGTCTCTTCCCATTGGAGGAGGAGGCGGACGTATTTCTTCGATGTCGTCGTTATCATCATTAAGATTAACGCCTAGGTAACAATCCGATGAGACTTGTTATGAGCTCGAATATGAAGATGTTCGGCTTCTTTTTGGTGGATTAGTAATTTCTTCATGTATTGTGAGTTCCCTCCACCTAATGCTTCTTTTGATAACTTCCCACACATGAATAAACTTAAAAGGCTTTAGCATATCATCTTGGAATGTAGTGCATGTTTTTTTCAACAAACTCGCTTCACTTTCCCCGCTAGCCTATTTTTTTCAAAGTTTGTGTAAATTCCATTCCAATATGTGACGAGTTTGTTCATAAGATTCCATTTGGTGTTACATTGGTCGGAGGTCCGATAATCTGGATTTCGACCTATTTCCTTAAAAATCGCTCCGTGATACATAACCAAAATTGATCAAGATTTTGACCATTTCCCGTGCCACCACCTTCGGATATGTTGACCCATGCCTTTGCTAACTCAACTTCTTCTTTTTGTGTCTATCTTCTCTGATCAGCCTTCCCTTTCTTTTGTTGTTGTTGTTGTTGTTGTTCTTCATGTTCGGAATCAGAAACAATTTTGGTTGAAGGTGTGAAAGGTGGTTGGGATGAAAATTGGATTTGAGATGGTTGGGTTTGGGGTTGAGATTGGAAATGGAATTGTTGGGGCATTTGGAATTGCGAATAATAGCTAGGAACACCAGCCATTTGTGGGCGGTAAGGTGGTGGTGATGACAGATCATATCTGAAAAGTGCGAAATAGTTGTTACCATTTCGGTTTGGAGCATTTTGTTTGGAAGAGTTTGGATTGTTAGAAGACGTTTCAATGAAAAATGTTTGTTGAGAGTGTATATTGTGGTTAAATTTTGAAAAAATGAATTGTATATATAGTAGATTTTTTTGTTTTTAAAAAAAAAGGAAAATTTGCCGAATAGCCGTTGCCGACCGTTTGGCAACGCTCCCTTCCACCAGACGGTCAAAATTTCAAATCTTCACACCCGGTAGAAAGCCACCATCGGTATTTCACCGGCGGTAAAAACGACCTCACGGCCCGGTGTTCACCGACGGTCAATTATGTCACGTCAGATACCGCCGGTAAATGTAACGCCCGCAGATCCGGGCTAGTCAATTTAAAGACGATGAGCATCAAAAATAAGTTTTTGTTTGAAGATTATTTAGAAGGATTAATCTTATACAAGTTGTATTATATGTTACAAGGGTTCCGTACATATAAAGAACGCCGAAATCCGAGTTATAACGAAGAAGTTATGGCCCGTCGAAGTTTTACGGCAAAACCGGCACGGCACCGGGAGACGTAAATAGTGAATTTACGGTAGAAGACTTTTTAGCCTTAGTGATCTAAAACAAAATTTGTAGTATACGTTAAACCGAGAACATACAAAAAAAGAACGCCCAAATCTGACTTCGTATGAGGAAGTTATGAATTTTCTAAGATTTGGCATAGCAGTGCACGACCCGAAACTCGAATTTTAGTTTGAGCGGTTTTTGGCCTACGCGACCTAAATGAGAGTTGAAGATCTCATTAATAGGAACTCAACGGTAAAAAGACAGACGAAAACGGAGTCCGTATGTAGAAGTTATGAATTTTACGCGGACATTTAACAGTATAATCTCCTCCTACTGTTAAATTTAAGATCGGTCGAGAATTAGCTGACAGAGTCTAAATGAAAGTTTTAGATCTTGTTTTTACCTACGCGTGGATATAATAAATGTCAAGAGTAGAGCTCGTATGTTAAAGATATGGACGAAACTTGGTCCCTACTCTTTGAGCGAAATAAATTCGATACAATTTTGTAAATCTGAGATAAAATGAGAATTAGCTGACGGCGTCTAAATGAAAGTTGTAGTACTCGTAAATACCAACGCGTGGATATAAAGAACGTCAAAAATGGAGTTCGTATGAACGAGTTACAAATTATAATAGCATATTTACGTATTAAAATAAAGTATAAATCATATATACGTACACATATATATACAAATGTATATATCATTAGAAAGGTATCGACGATGCGGTTATTATAAGACTAGTGTTGAGTACTTTCGACATTAGTTTAGTACAAATATCGTTAAATCTATTTAAAATAATATTATGAAAGGGTGTCTAGTCGTTTATATAACTATAAGATCATTAAGTAATTATGGAGGGTAGTTTTTGTAAAGTCAATCACTGTAAATAAGAGACTTGGGCTCTCGTATTTCTTGCACCATTCTCTTGATTCAAGAATCTTTCTATTCTTATCCCCCGAGCATTTCGGTCCCTCGTGATTCGACTTCTCTTTCTGTACTTTTAGTATAGTAAGGTGAGCGTTGAACCGCTACACGAATCTTTCTTAGAAAGATTCAACGACGAAGTTCTGCCCCTGCAGAGCCCGACTCCTAGCTAAAACCCCCTTGTAAGTAAGTTATGCTTACCTATTTTAATATAGCTTATATTTAAAATTAGTATTGTTATTATGAACTTATAATAAATATTTGAGCTATTATTATGACTTATATAAGTGTCGTTATAATATCTTTTTAACTACTCGCAGTACGGTGAATCTGGTTTAAAGGGCCGCATAGGGTTGTTGGATTTCAGAAGTGCTATATGCCAAAATGGTCCTGCCCTCCGGTGTTTTATGTCTGGCCCCTGTCTGTACATAGTGGTTAGAAAGTATTGTTTAAACGCTTATATAATAATAATAATAAGACTAATAATTAGTCACGGTAAATATTAGACTAAAATCTAGTGGTAATAATACTAGGTTTCGTCGAAGGAAATTATTTTAAAGTAAACGAAGCGCTGTCCGAGTACCGAGTCACCACCTTATCAAGTGAGTGCATAGTTACTTTCATCTTACACATAGATATGAAGTATTTTATATAAACTACGTGCTATGTGTGCATATTATCTGTATACTTGCTATCTATGCTGGATGAACGATTTTATACAAGTTTTATATGATTTAAACTGTATATGTATTTATATCTACATAGTATGCTGGGTAAAACATGGGTAGATGAAATATGAGTTGGATGATGAGTTGAGAGGTGATATAGACCATGAGTTAAGGGTGAGAGGTGGACGATGTGAGAAGCCTTGTTCCCAAATGCTGGCCCCGTCATCTAGCAGAGTATGGATGACAACCACGGACTATTCTAGACAGTCTAGTGGAACACTAGCAGGCTCGCAACCTGTAGGTGTTGTGAACGATGTGTTCACCCGGTGTACTCTAAACCCTGGCGATCATGCAGACTTGGTGCCTAAACCTTGACGATCATGCAGACTTGGTGCCAAAACCCTGGCGACTATGCGGACTTAGTCCCTGTTGTATAAACTCTGGCGACTATGCAGACTTAGTGCCTAAACCCTGACGACTATGCAGACTTAGTGTCTGTTGTATAAATCCTGGCGACTATGCAGACTTAGTGCCTAAACCCCGGTGACGATGAACTTCGTGCCGATTCCTTAGGATGATCCTTAGGAATGAATAAACGAGGAATAGTTGATTCTTAGGGTAGATCCTTAAGAGTAAAGAAGATAATGGGGATGGGTAATTGGGTTGATTGTTTGATGTTTAAACATAATAATTATATTATTGTGGGTTGAAAACCCTATGTACTCACCAGGTTTCCCAACCTGACCCACTCCAGCTTATTTCTATCACAGGTGTCGATATGAAGTTACATTACACTGAGAGATTTAAAAGAGATGTAGATCACTAGTGTACATGAATGTAAGTTCTGTTTATGCTTATGTTTCTGTATTAACGATGACATCTCAAATGTTTTAAAAATGAATAAAAATACATTTCTTCGGAAATGCTTTGATAACGTATTTATCATGTTTTACTGGGAACAAATTTCGCAACATTTTTATTAAAAGAAATACTCTGATTTTTATAAAGCATAAACAAAATAGGTGTTTTCTGACCGTGAAAATGGGGATGTCACAGTAAACAATTTACGACACCTTGCAGCCTTATAGTTTTAAGAGATGTGTAAATGATATGATTTAACAAAGATATATAATTAATTGTCAACATCTAACCTCTCCTTTACCTAGGACCTAATCGGAATTGACTTTATGAGATGTGATTTAGGGTTGATGTGGTGAATTATGGCCTTACTAAATGTTCAAGGACTGTTTTGTAACTAATTAAAGTCGATGTCAAAACTGACCCCAATTAGGGCGTAGGATACATATTAGCAAAGTGGTTGTTTACTTGTCCTTTTCGTAGGCAATAATGAAGCTATATATGAATCTATAATTGTTAGCCATTCTTGTCCATTTTCATTTGATTATTTCCTTCTTTAATTCATTGTTTTCTTCCACTGTTACAAGAAATTGCAATCATAGAGAGGGTGGAGGGTTTCAATCAAAGAAGTGAATTCAAGAAAGATTTCTTGGCCCTACTTTCGGTGATCGATCAAAGGGATGAAGTATTTTAATCGGGTGACGAATTAAGTTTAACTTCATAGAGGTCGTGTCAATCAAGACAGAGGGATTAAGAACAGGGGTGCGATGTTTTTTCTGGTTTTTTTTCAATCTACAAGTTGGTAATAACAATCACATTTGTCTTGATTTTATGGGATTTGTCATTGGTTTCAGTTTGGATTCCATAATTGGGATATCTCTGCAAAAGAACTATGCTTTAGGATTGAGTAGAGAATCAAGCACACAAGTTCACATACAAAAAGAAAAGCAACTTTTTTCCCCGATGTTAGAACTGGTGTGTAAAAAACAGAAACAAAATTGTGAAAAACAGTAAAAGGAGGACATGACAGAATCACTATACTTAAGGATAATTATCTCACACTATTGTATGTTTGGGTCGGGGGTAAGATCTTCCCATGACCTCCTCGAGTTTAGAGAATGTATGAAACGATCCCACAATCCCTTCTCATGAACGCAATACGTTGCATTTTTCTATGATAATCTTAAAGATGTGAAAATGTGATCAACAAAATAAAGGGAAAACGAATGTCTTTATAAACTTAATTCCTGTTAGTATGTTAGCATCTACGGCTTAGGCATAAAGCCCTTAGGGTTTAGGTTAGGCCAATGGCCGCTTATGTATCCCTATTTATATGAGGTTTAACCCTCACTATTAATCAAACAATCTATTCTATAATATTATATCAGAGCTCTAGGTTAAAACCCCTATTGCTGACCACAACCCGTAGCCGTCACCCTCTACCTCCGACGACATTCTCTCATAGTCGTCCCAGGTGCCTTCATTATGCTCCATATTTTTTCATTTTTTCTCTCATCATAAATAATAAAACAGTTGTCGGCACCAAACCAGAGCTCTTTCCTCGGCTTCTTCGACTGCCTTGTCTGCTTATGCCTCCTCCTCGGATGGCCCATGTAGCCTTTGTCTCCTCCTTACCTCGCATCTTCTTTAGATCTCTTTTCTAAGTCAAATGGAATAGGCTCCGTCTGCAGCAACTCGAGTTCTCTTTCTTTCTCGCTTTCTTTCGTTCTGCCTTTCTTCGGACTCCTCTACTCCTTTGTCGCCGATTGTCACCATCGCCGCTCCTCTCTTCTTCTATATCGGAACCGCCGATAGCCGATGCTTATTCTCTCTCTTTCTCTGGCGAGTAGTTGTTGTTAGCATCCATTGTTAGAGCTCTACCACCACTGTTGACGATGTCTTCATTTATGTTTTTTATTTTTTTTGTTCTCTTGTTTATTTTTCCAGTTTAATCGACTCCTCTCGACCAAAATGTGGGAGGATATTAGTATGTTAGCATCTAGGGTTTATACCCAAGGCCCTTAGGGTTTAGGTTAGGCCAAAAGCCCCTTATATATCCCTATTTATATGAGTTTTAATCATCACTATTAATCAAACAATCTATTCTATATCAATTCCAAACAACCATAATGGTTTATGAAAAGGTACAAACCTTTCATAAAAAATAAAACCTATCAGAATAGTTTTTCTCTTCAAAACAAGAATTGAAAAAAAACAAATACTTGAGTGGAGCTTAAACTAATAAACCCAGTAAAGGTTTCTTCACCCACCTAGGTAGGATTTGTTGCTAGTCATAATGACTATTTTCAACATCCAAAGTATATCGATGTATAAATTCTTGGCCTGAGCCGTGGGAAATCAGCGAGTGAAGGGTATTTTTTCAAGGTGTTTTGGGTAGCAAAGAAAAAAAATAATAACCCCTCATTTGAGGACATATAAGTTCATCAATAAGAAGAACTTCACTCTATGGAGGAGTAAGAACTCAAAATAAATGGTAAACCACACCACACCGAACCCGCCCCAAGGCCCATCACATTGGAGGTTAATCTCTAAGCACTTGCATTATTTTGGGCAACCCTGGAACTCCTGTATCGAATATCGCACCTCAACCACTATGCTTCCATCACAAGGACAAGATTAAGATATTTATGTGGCCAAAACAATGTTTATGGCTTCCTTTGCCAGAGATAGTCCCGTAAAATTTAAATGAGAAGAAAACGTCCATTCTACCATTTTGCTACTTCATTCGGACAAAGTTGAAAATTTAAATGAGAAGAAAACGTCCATTCTACCATTTTGCTACTTCATTCGGACAAAGTTGAAATTTTTTGAGACGGTTCTTCCCGTTGAGAAGGTTCCTCGTTATATACTTGACATACAAGCTATAAATATAAGCATAAATATAGATTTCTAGTCTATGAAACATGTTACTAAATATTTACAAATAACGACAATAAAAGCATATATATTTTGTTGGACAAAACTGCAAAATTGGTCCCTATGGTTTGCGAAAAATTTTGGATAGGGTCCAAAAAGTTTTCAATTTGCATGGAAGGTCCAAAATAAAAAACTTCCTATGATTTTTGTCCAAAAAAATTTAAAAAAAATGTTATGACATTTTATTTTCTTTTTTATATTTGTTATAATTATCCTAATACTATTTTACTTTAAAAATAAAAAGAAAAGAAAAGAATTATCCCCTTACCCCCACCCACCCCAACTTTCTCTCTCTCTCTCTTAAAGAAAAAGTAAAAAAAACCCGATCCATCTTCTTATTCCCCTTCTTAATTAGATTTTCTGGGTTTCAAGTACTCGCAAATTGTCCAAAATTAGTAGTTGTTCCCCCTTCAAATCGTTATAACCAACACACACGCATAACACATATATACACAGGAGGTGGAGAAGGTATCAGAATCTGAACCAATTCTAATAAATAATCAAGAAAGAGGGAAATGATTGAGACCAGTTTGCCTCCTTGATATTCAATTAATTCTAGTTCCGCTACTTCAATAAATGGACAATTCATAACCATATCCATATGAAACGGCTTATACAAGAAGCAAATTCAGATGCGAGATTGTGTTTTCTCCATTTTTCTGTCTGGTCCTCGCAGCCCTCCACTACCATTGGAAACATCCTTATCCCTTCATCTTCTCCATTTTTTCTCTAGTTCTGCTCCTTCATTGACTACAAAATCTACAAAACTGATGAGTATTTCTGGTTTCAGGTGGGTTTCTTCAGTATTTTATGTTTCTGACGGGTGTGGTGAAGGCTTTCGTTGTTACCCTCATGGAAATCTCGGTGGCAGCCACCGTGTCTGCTCAAGCGATGGCCCTTGCACCTTCCCCTGACACTGGAGCTGCCTTTCTATCCCGGTTTCTGAAGTAATGATCGAAACATCTCTACTTCTTTCTCTAGTTGCTTTCTTCCGGAATTGATCAGAACATCACTAGAGATTTCTGGAAGATTGATTTTATCGTTGATTCCCCTCTTTTCTCTCCTGATTCCAATGGTTGGAATGGCAGAATCGAGGTTACCTTTTGAATCAGAGTGAATGGAGATGACAGGTCATATTGCTAGTGATGAAAGTCAACCCAATAAACTTCATTCTCAATTTTGCTAACTTGAAACACCGTCTCCTCCTATTCCACTGCTGTGAACCACCATTGATGGAACCCTAGACATCATTTTCACTGCTGATTCATTACCATCACTCGACTGAGTGATTTCATCTGTTCTAGTCGCAATTTTTCCGTTTTTTAATAGTGATAACGACTGCAATTTGGTCAAGAAAAAAGTTTGAAGAAGTAAGACACATGCAGGGCGGCGGTGGTAGTGGCTTTAGGGTGGCGGTAGTCGTGGCTTCAAGGCAGTGGTGATCTTGTGTTTTAAGATTTCTTCAATTCTTAGGCTGTGGTGAGTGGTCACCACCAACCCACCGAAAAAGTGGTGTCACCTCTCTGTGTCACGTGAGCTTCACCACCAACCCACTAGACATAGGAAATGGTCACCACTCCACAATTATCTTTTATTTATTTATTTTTTATGATTAAATTAAATAAAAACATAATAAAATACTTTATATTAATTGAAACCACATTACATTAATTAAAAAAACAAAGAAAACTAAAACTAAAAAAATAGAAAATTAAACCTAAATTACACAAAAAAAAACATAAAAACACATAGAAAATGAAAACTAAAATACTAAAAAAACATAAAAATAACATAGAAAATTAAATCTAAATTACTAAAAAACATAGAATCTAATTGCGATATTTGTCGAGAACTTCTTGTTGGATTTTCAAAAATACTCTTAAATTTTCCGTGTCGAGATTTGTTGCGGAACCGTGTTTATAATTTGAAGATCGGTGAATGCCAATTTTCGCTGACGTTGTTCCTCCATTGAATCATTTTTTTTTTCTAAAAAATTTAGAGTTTTGTCGATTTTCTCCGCTAGTACGTCATGCAACAGTTAAATATGGAATAACCAATCACATCGCCCATCCTCTCTCGTCTCCGTGAAGACGCAAAACCCAACCCACCAGAGTTAGGGGCGGTGTTCACGCGTCGTGGGGGCTGACACGTCAGCCTCCACGCGTCTTCCACATTCCCACTCCGGGTATCCTTACACTGAAACGAGAGATCCTTGTATTATTTTATTGATTTTATTTTTGATGGTGTTATTTCAAATAGAGAGAGAGGATATTTTTTTTCTTTTCTTTTTATGTTTAAAGTAAAATAGTATTTGGATAATTATAAAAGATATAAAAAGGAAAATAAAATGGCATAACCATATTTTCAGGTTTTTCTAGACCAAAATCACATTAAGTTTTTTGATTTTGGACCTAGTTAAAAACTTTTTAAACCCTATCCAAAGTTTTTCGCAAACCATAAGGACCAATTTTATAGTTTTGTCTATTTTGTTGATTTGATTACCTGGCGCGTATAAGAAAAGCAAAGCAAGGTTACACTAAGATGAGTATACCTGTAAATAAGAGCGCGATAGCCAGCAGCTGTGAGTTTTTTGTGGTAGTCAATCATGGTTACAAGTTCTGAATTATATTTTACCCTGCCCGTACATATCTCCCATTTTCCAGCTTCACTAATCTGAAGTATCCATTAAACGTTCAACTTCACTTTCAATCGGCATAATCTAGCTATAAAGGGAAACCTATCCTATCTTACCGGGTCGGCGTGAATTTCCTTTCGGACTGCTTCGTTGTTTAGCCATGTAATTGCCACACTATCGTCCTACAAAAGTAGAAACAATATTCAACAACCAAAACCTAACAAATGGTTTTATTAATACTCCACAAACCGAAAAAAACACATCAGTCGCTCTGTCGAACATTTGACAATAAGGCTGCATTTTTTATGTTGTAGATGAGTAGGTTTTATGTCTTGGCATAGACAAGAGATCGAGTACGTTGTTCCATTTTTTTGTCCTATGCAAACCAATCACAATATAAGGCTAACAAATGGGGCCCACTAAAAGTATTTGAATAGTAAGACAATACCCCAAATCCCCCTTCAATAAAACAAAATTGAGAAAAACTTGTGTAGCAAATCTTTTGTAATGATGAATGACACACAAATAAAGAACAAATCATCATTATGTTTGAATGACTTACTGAACATGGGGAGCCTCGAATTTGTGTGGTGTTGAGAAGCTCCAGCCAAGAAGGCACATAACCAGGCTTCACCGCAGCTTTAAAAGGCCATGCACGCCCAAACATTCTGGTTCGCACAGGAAGTGGCCTTTCAGTCTCACCCAATTCCCTAAAGCTCAGTGGCAATTTTGTATTTTCATGTCTAATCTTTTTTCCGCGAAAGCATGGTTTGATAATGTTATCCACGTTTAGACCATCAAGATGCTGGATGCACGCGTTCAAATCCAACGTAAGCAAGTGTGTCATAGAACACGTAATTTTTTTAAGAATAAAGAAAGAAAAAGACGATTACTTGGTAAACTTTGTCAAGCTGGAATTCACATTCTAGGTTTGGAGGTTTGCAAAATTCCCTTCACACACCTTGGTAACATCCTGTACGTGCTTAGGGTGAAGTTATGATAACAATTTTTAAAAACATTTACACTAATACTAACTTAAAACTGTCAAGTCCAATAGTCACTGTTCTCTAGGTACTTATCACTACCAGGTTCAGGCTATAATCCATATTACATTAATTCCTTACTTCTGTTAGAAATTTCTTGAACATACCTCCAAAGTCAAAGGTCCAACTGAAGAGCCAACGGTTTGACTTTTAAAGTCGAAACGACTAGTTCATAACTTCTTTAGTTGATTTGTATATTCTTAAAGTCTTTCCTGGAATTATAAATATATTAACCCTAAACCATTTACTACAAAAAGACCCCATGGATGTCAAATTTTCAACATAAATCCATGTCAATTTGGAACTTTAAGCATGATAGGTTTGACCTACAAAGTCAAAGGATCCGTTGTTGGAACATTGGAATATTACCTGATATAATTCATCTGAAATGAGGCCCATCCCATGTGCAAATGGAACAACAGCATTGCCATCAAACACATCATCGCAAAGTCCATTTCCGATAATGTAACCCTATATTTATCTAATGAATTTAGGTCAAGGCAATAGCTGTGTGTGTGTGTCACAAAGTTTTTAATGGGAGATGCACCTTGAAGTTGAGAGTGGGTTTATCACCAGCTTCAAGTCCTGAAAAGAATTGAGAAGGGCATTATCATAATTTACTCAGAATCAGGTTTGTGTGGGTCCAATGCACAAATATTTACCTTTCATCACTTGATCAGACAATAGAGGGATGTAAACTCTAGCAAATGCCTCACCGGCGATGAAAAAAGGATTTGAAAGGTATTCAGGATATAACTTGAACCACTAAATTCACACAAACCCCAAATGCAAATATGTTAATATCTGAAAATAGAATATACCTGCTAAAAGGTGCATGTTGTTTTTTTTTTCTCGAGAATACCTCAAGGAGAAATTTGTGGGAATCTAAAGTCATTAATATATCACTGGTGATATAGTCGGATCTGTTCCTGGAGTAAGACATTCCAACTCCAACAGGAGAGTCCAAAAATATCATACTTGAAACCTTGCAGATTAGATTCGCAACCAAAATTATAATTTTTGGTGTTGATCAACTTTTATGTAATTAGTAACATTATGAAGGGCTAAATTTAAGTAATAGCAACATACTTTTATTTATTTTTGTATCATAACATTCCACTTTCATTGTACCTGCATTTTTCTTTTCTTATTTAGGCGTGTTGTACATTGAAAAATCTAACCAACTATACTATTATACTTCAAAAAAATTTCTGATTTAGACATTACATTTTAAAAAATTCTAACAAATTATGAGTGAAAGTTGCCTTGTATTTGGATAACATTGCTTTAATTGGATAGATTTTTTTATAATACAATGTAGTAGGAAGGAATAAAAGTAGGATACTAAAATAAACTAATCAATGGAAGTGTGTTGCTATTTCTTGCATTCAAACTGATTATCAAATTAGTTTTGATGAGATCGAAAACATTTGTATATATAAACCTTGTTCCATGCATAAGGATTTATATGAAGCTTCGGCATGCTTTCCGTTTTCTCAAAATCAAATGGACCTGCAACACAACATCCCGTTGTTCTTAAGGCTGATTAAACAAGTCAAGAACCACTCTAACACCCGTGAATAAAGGTTAAATTATTTTAACATTGTGATGAGATGTATAAATTTTTTTTATTTGATTGCTTGATATAT